GCACCCCGGGACCGCGTGGACTCTGCCCGACCTTCAGCGAGCGCACGAACTCGTTCTCGGTCAGTCGGTTGTTCTGCATCAGCTCCTCTGAGCTGCACCGGCTTTTATTCATCAGCACGTTGAGCTTCTTCAGGTCGTTGTCCAGGTCCTTCATGTGGCGCTCGATCTCCTTCTGCTCCTTCTTCTCCTGCTCGATCCTGCCTATGGCAGAGAACAGAGGCTTGCGGAGGGACCCCGGGGAGGGTCCGGGTCCTCACCTGCTGGCAGCAGCGTCTGCGAGGGAGCCAGGGTTTGTCTCTCCCTGTATGTACTCCCTTCATCGCCTCCCCTCTGTCCTTCCTGGTGCTCCTGCCTGAGGCTTATCCCTGCAGGCCAGAGGAGAGGGGGAGAGGGGGTCTCTTCTTGACTGCTAAGCTCCCCAAACCTTGTCCTCCGAGGGAGCTGAGAGGACCCACATGTGGGGACGGTCAGCAGGTATGGGCGGGATGGATCTGTGGGCCATGGGGACCTGGCTGGCGTTCAGACACCGTGAGTCCCTGGGGCGGGGGGCCCTTAGACCCCTGCCCGCCCCAGCCAGGCTCAGGGGTAGGGGCAGAAAACAACAGCTATTCTTTTTTTTCTTTTTTCCATTAACCACTAGACCATTAGGGATTTTTTTTTTTTTTTTTTTAAGAGACAGGGTTTCACCATGTTGGCCAGAATGGTCTCAATCTCCTGACCTCCTGATCTGCCCACCTTGGCCTCCCAAAGTGCTGGATTACAGGCGTGAGCCACCATGCCCATCCACAACAGCTATTCTTGATGTCAAGATGGGTGAAGGACAGGAGAGGCCACAGCTGGTTCACCCACTGGCCACTCCCCCAGGACGTCTCCAGCTCCTCCTGCTCTCCCCACAGTTCAGGCTGACTGCCGCAGGGCGTGGGCACGTGGGGCCCCCCATCTGCCCTCTCCGTGCATGATCTCCCCCATCTCCCAGCGTGGTATTTCGGCAGCTCTCGCCTTGGGATGCTGATATTCAGCCGACAGCTCCACAGGGTCTTTCGGGATCTGCTACTCACCAACAGACGGGTGTGGGCAGCCCACGGGCAGGGCAGGAGGCAGCAGGACCTCCGAGACAGGCACACATGTGTCGGGCAGCATTTCCCGTGGGGGCCTTGCTGCAGGCCTGACCAGCATGGATCCCCGACCCAAGACCAAGAGGGACCCGGATGTCTCGGCATGTGGCCATGTGTGTGGAGAGTGGTCCAGGCTGGATGCCCGCCTCCCTTATTCTAGGCACCCTGGCACTGAGGTAGCCCTTTGGGCCTCAGAAGGGTCAGGGAGCCCTGTGGAATGGTTTTCTAAGGTCAGCTGGAGGTGACTCGGGGACAGCACCTCCCTAGAGCATGAAGAGCCCGCCCGGCAGGACCCTGGCTCTTCCCGAGCCCGTGTTTCCACCTGGGCGCCCTGGCTTGGCAGGGACGATAACCTTCCATGCTCCTCTCTCGAGGAGAGCTCTGGCGTCTGTGAGCTTGGAGACATTTCGTGAAATTTCTCAACCCTCCCGCCGTGACTGTGAACCGGGCAGCTGGACCGGCAGTGGTTCACATTTACAAAATGCGGGGAGCATGCCCGTTGGTTATTTGCTTTTCCAGCTGCGTGGAAATCCCGAGATGCCTGCACTGAGTGCCCTGCCCCGTCGAGCCGCCCCCTCCCTGAGCTTGTCCGAGCAACCCAGCAGGGCTGGGCGGGCGGGTGCGGCGGCTCTTACTGTCTACCCGCAGTTTCTTCTGCTCCATGATGTGGAGCTCCTTCTTGGACGTGTCCAGGGAGGCCAGCTGCTCCTCGCGCTCCTGCGTCACCTTGACCATCTCCTGCTGCAGGCGCAGCCAGGTCACCTGGGCCTGGACCACCTTGGCGTTGTATTCCTCGATCAGCTTGCTCAGCCTTTTGATTTCCAGCTCCAGGGGTCCCACTTCCTCCCCCTAGGCAGGGTAGTCATCAAAAAGCAAAATTAGACCAGGCGCGGTGGCTCATGCCTGTAATCCCAGCATTATGGGAGGCCGAGGCAAACGGATCACGAGGTCAAGAGATCGAGACCATCCTGGCCAACACAGTGAAACCCCATCTCTACTAAAAATATGAAAATGAGCTGAGCGTGGTGACACACAACTGTAGTCCCAGCTACTCGGGAGGCTGAGGCAGGAGAATTGCTTGAAGCTGGGAGGTGGGGGTGGTAGTGAGCCAGTGAGCTGAGATTGCGCCACTGCACTCCAGCCTGGTGCCTGGCGAAAGAGCGAGACTCTCTCAACAAAAAAAAAAAAAAAAAAAAAAAAAAATTAGCCTTCTTAGGCTCAGAGGTCCTCTTTGTGGGTGGGCTGCGGAGGGCCTGGGCCTCTGAGGTCATGAAGCTCTACGATGGCTGAGGGGCATTTACTCTGAGGGGCGCACGTTAGCTCTCAGCAGTGCCTCATGCCACAGACCCTGCTGTAGAAACATTGGCCAAGGGGCTCTGCAGCCCCCTCCAGCCTCCCCACAGTTGGTGCACCCGCAGGGTGCGTGGGGCCTCGGGAACCCAAAGGGGCTTTGAGAGTTGCGTTTTTTTTGAGCCAGAGTCTCACTCTGTCACCCAGCCTGGAGTACAGCAGCATAATCTTGGCTCACTGCAAACTTCACCTCCTGGGTTCAAGTGATCCTTCTGCCTCAGCCTCCCAAGTAGCTGGGACTGTAGGGGCGCACCACCATGTCCAACTAATTTTTGTATTTTTAGTACAGACAGGGTTTCACCATATTGGCCAGGCTGGTCTCAAACTCCTGACCTGGTGATCCGCCCGCCTAGGCCTCCCAAAGTGCTGGGATTACAGGCGTGAGCCACTGCCACCACATCTGGCCGCAAGCTGCCTCTTAATAGCAGAGACGGCAGGGCTTGGGACTTCACTCCCTTAGCATCCATTCCATTTTGTGGCTGTCAGAGCAAAAGCAGGGGCTCTCCAGTGTTTGGGGCCCAGCTAAGAGCTCACGCCCAGATGCTCATCCTACTCCGGATGGGATTTTTAAAATTTTTTTGGAGACAGAGTCTCACTGCTGTTCATCCTGGAGCGCAACAGGGTGATCACAACTCACTGTAGCCTTGACCTTCGGGGCCCAAGTGATCCTCCGACCTCAGCCTCCTGAGTAGCTGGGACTTTAGGTGGGTGTCACCACATCTGGCTAATTTTAAAATTTCTTTTGTAGCAATGAGATTTCTCTATGTTGCCCAGGCTGGTCTCAAAGTCCTGGGCTCAAGCAATCTTCCCACCTCGGCCTCCCAAAGTGCTGGGATTACAGGAGTGAGCCTGCGCCTGGCCCTACCCTGTGTTTAGGTCCCGAGGTTACAGGGACCCAATGACGTATATGGCATCAGGCCTCAAACGCATTCGGCCACTTCTCTTAGAGCGGCGGAATGTTTTGTGCCGGGTGAAAATGATTTGGAATTCAGACTTCAGTGGCCTTGAATAACATCTGATTGGACACAGCCATGCCCGTTCCTTTACGTTTTGCCTACAGTCCTTCTCGCCATGGAGGCAGGGCCGTATCACTGCCAGAGTGGCCAACTGGCCGCAAAGCCTGAAATCTTTACTCTCTGGCCCTGTACAGAAAAATGTGACTTAGAGCGCTTGGCACATGTGCCGTTTTGTCTGTAAAGCGGGTAGAGAAAGGGCTGTTCTGCACCTTCTGTGAGTTCATGTCTGACCGTGGGCAGCCTTGAGGGGTTTCTGCCCCGCCGGGCACGACAGTCAGCCGGGGACCGCGTCTCCCTGCCTGGGACCTCACCCCCAGCTCGGAGACCATCCGCTCCAGCTGCTTGTTGAGGAAGTTGATGAGCCCTTGCTTCCTCTCGATCAGGATCGTGTGCCGGGAGATCTCGCTCTTGCTGTTGGTGATGAGCTCATTGACCTTCTTCACCTCCTGCTCCAGCTCCAGCAGCGTCTTCCGGTGCGCGTCCAGCCTGCTGCTGCTGTGGGTGATGTCCAGCGTGGTCTGGGCAATGTCGCCGTCGATTTTGGAAAGATGTGTCATCTGAATTGGTGAAAGGAAACACCTGTGAATATTGGCCCCCCCCCCCCTCAAGAGGCCTGGGACGGGTTTGCTGGTCCACCATTCCCTGACAGGCAGGTTGGTCCTCTGGAGAAATTCCAAACACAAAAATACAGTCACGAGAGCAGTAGGTGGGGTTTCCTGCCGTCTCGAGGACCCAGCGAGGGACCCACTTGTTGGAACCCAGTTGTTGGCTTTTACAGAAAAGAGACATCATGGTATTAGGTTTTCTTATTGATATGGTTTGGCTGCGTCCCCACCCACCTCTCATCTTGAATTGTAGCCCACGGTCCCACGTGTCAAGGGAGGTCCCCTGTGGGAGGCGACTGGATCACGGGGGCCGTTACCTCCGTGCTGTTCTCGTGATAGTGAGTTCTTATGTGATCGTGAGTTAGTGGTTTTGTGTGTTTGACAGTTCCCCCTTCACACGCGCTCTCCCCCCGCCTCGTGAAGACGGTGCCGGCTTCCCCTCCTGCCATGATCATCAGTTTCTTGAGGCCTCCCAGCCATGTGGAACTGTGAGTCAATTACACCTCTTCCCTTTATCAATTATCCAGTCTCAGGTATTTCCTGATAGCAGTGAGAGAACAGACTAATACACTTATTAAACAAATGGTGGCACACATTGTGAGGAAATGTGAAAATAGCAGGCCAGGACAGAGAACAGTCAGCCACCTGCAATTCTGACACGAGGGAGCTACTGTTCCCATCTATAATCCTTCTTTCCTTCCAGTCCTTCCTATGCCACTCTCCAAACCAAAAATCGGATCACACCCTACACCCTGGCACTGGGTGCTAGCCTGCTTTTTAATCTGATGACCTGCGTCTTATGTTCCTGCGTCCTGTAAGTCTTCATGGCTGTGCTACCCTGTTACCTTTGTAGCATGGTTTAAGCAGCAAGAAGCAATTGTTAGACACTGGCTCCTCCCTGAGCTCCAACCCCTCCTGCCGTCCTGCGGGTCGCGCAGCCTTTGCTGGCCTCCTCGGCCGGCTCTTTGGAGGCATTAGAAAGATTCCTTCAGATACCGTCTAGCAACCGGGGTTTTATCGAGCAGCCGTTTGTGAGAATCGGGAGTCAGGCAGAGGCACTCACAGCTGCAGTGGTGCGGCCAGAGCCGTTCTGGGACCAGGGAGATGCTGTCCCCACTGGGACCAGGTCCTCTTCCCCAGGGCGTGGCTCTGACAGGTGGTCTCAGGCCGCGTGTCTGCCCTGACCACCCCTGCCCATCAGCTCCTGCCACGCAAGGCCTCGGCTCTCTCAGACCGTGGCTCCTGCCTACCCCGGCCTCCTCAGGGCCATCTGAGCCTCTCCTCCTGCCCCTGCTGGGGGCTCCATGTCTCTCACCAGCCACCACCGGCGACTTCCCAGGAGACCTAATGTCCCGGTTGTGGAACCCAGACCCTGCCCCCCTGGAACGGAAGCGCCCAGCATCTGGAGTTGCGTGGCAATGTCAGTCTGCAGCTTCCTCCTTTGCCAAGGAGGAGGTCTGAGATCTGAGCCCCACAAGGGCTCCCAGCGTCCCCCTCCCCAACTGCCCTGCAGGGGCTCCCAAGTCCCCTTCAGCCCCTCCCCGTCACAGCCAGGCCTGCCTCCCCTGCCCCACTCCTGGCTGTTTGTGGTCGCTGTGGAGCCCACCCTGGGCTCCTCACAGGCATCTGCACCAGCGCTGGATTAACTGCTTGAACCCCATGGTGACCCCAGCTCCATATGTGTGGTCCCGTCCATCCACACTTTGCTCCTCCTCCCAGATATGCCCCCTGACCCCACCGTCTATCAGCCCGTGGGACTTTGAGCAGTTAAAAAAAACGGGGGGGGAGCCCTTTTCAAGAGCTGCACATGTCCCCCCACCCCAACTTCTATGAGGCCATGGGGCTTTAAGCAGTTAAAAAAATGGGGGTACCTTTTTCAGGAGCTGGACATGCCTCCCACCCCACCTTCTATCAGCCCATGGGGTTTTGAGGACTTAAAAAAATGGGGGGGGGTGCCCTTTTCAAGAGCTGGACTGGCATCTGTTGGAAAATTGTCATAATGGGTCGAAGACTCTTTGCTGCCCTCTTCTGGACACTGGCAGCAGTACATGTATGACCTATTTGGCTGCCCAGAAGGGGCTCGGCTGGGACCCTGGGGGTCTGGGGGCCTGGGTGGGGATCTGGGGGCCTGGGGATCTGGGGCCCTGAGGGTCTGGGGGCCTGGGGATCTGGGGGCCTGGGGATCTGGGGCCCTGAGGGTCTGGAGGCCTGGGGATCTGGGGGCCGGGCACCTGGGAACTGGACTTGGCTGTGTAGCAGCAGGCTGGACGGGCTACTTCACACGCACCACGCCCTTCAGCTCTGTCTGGCCTGCTCCTCTCCCATCCCTCAGGAGGGCAAAACCAGCATTGCAAAAAAGCTTGGAGTCCGGAATCTGTCACCCTCCTCTGCGACTCAAATGGGGACCCGTGGGCAGGCCCCGCTGCTGGGATTGCCCTGGCAATGCCGCAGCCTGTGGCAGCCTCTGGGGGTCCTCCAAAGGGGCCTGCCCGAGGCAAGGAAAAACAATCAAGTAAGGAATTGTTTTTCTAAGGACACAAGTCCCCTCCACCGCCTACCACAGTGATAAAGGATAAAGCAAGACCCCAGGGGAAGCGAGAGTGAGCTTATAATCGGGGGTCCCCTGCCGTGGACCTCTAAGTCACACTCCACGGCCCCCCAGGGAACTCAACCTTCAGGGGTGGCTGGCCAGGCGGTGGCTCATGCCTGTAATCCCAGCACTTTGGGAGGCTTAGGCGGGTGGATCACTTGAGGTCAGGAGTTCGAGACCAGCCTGGCCAACATGGTGAAATCCTATCTTTACTAAAAATATGAAAAATTAGCCGATGTGGTGGTGGGCGCCTGCAATCCCAGCTACTCGGGAGGCTGAGGCAGGAGAATCGCTCGAACCTGGGAGGCGGAGGTTGCCGTGAGTCAAGGTCACGCCACTGCACTCCGGCCTGGGTGACAAGAGTGAAACTCTGTCTCAAAAATAAACAAATTTAAAAAAACAAAATAAGATAAGACAAAAACTAGAAACAGCCCGAAGTGCCTAACAAGAGATTTAGTAAACAAAATAAGTACATTTGTAGGATAAGATGTTATGCAGAATGGAAATTTAGGTTTTTGAGGAGGATTTGTTGGCGTGAGGAAATGTTATGCTGAATACGGTCAAGACAGCAAAATGCAAAACTATCCAAGTCGCAAAGATTCACTGACTCCCATTCTCTCTGTGTCATGGTTCAGTTAAATTAATGACAAATGGATGCAGGCGGGCCTGGGGACGGGGCACAGTGGCTCAGGCCCAGAATCCCAGGGCTTTGGGAGGCCAAGGTGGCAGGGCCAATTGAACCCAGGAGCTTTGAGACTGCAGTGAGCTGTGACCGAGCCACAGCACTCCAGCCTGGGCGACAGAGAGAGACCCTATCACAAAAAAATAAACTAAGTAAATAATAGAAAGAAAATGGGCCTGAGAACTGATTTGTCATGAGCCAGTGTTGCTTCAGGTATGTGCTTGTGTATGTGCGTGCGTGTGTGTTTGTAGGAGTTTCAGTGTATGTTTGTGTGTTTGCATGTTTGAGTTTGTGTTTGTGCGTGTGTGCGTGGTGGATGTGTAATTGCAAGCATGTTCATGCGTGCGAATGTGTTTGCCTGTGTGAGAATGAGTATGTGTGTGTTTGTGGTTGGGTGCAAATGTGTTTCTGTATGAAAAATTTCCAGAAGGAAATTTACCAAATTAAAAAAAAAAAAGTTTTCTCTGGATGGTGGGCCTAGAGCTGTCTCACTAGAACTGTCTCATTTTCTTCTTATGCCTTTCTATATTTCTAGTTTTTTTCTTTTCTTTTGCTCTGTCACCCAGGCTGAAGTGCAATGGAGTGGTCTCAGCTCACTGCAACCTCCACCTCCCAGGTTCAAGCGATTTTCCTGCCTCAGCCTCCTGAGTAGCTGGGATTACAGGCATGTGCCACCACACCCGGCTATTTTTTGTATTTTTAGTAGAGAATACAAAATACATGTTGACCAGGATGGTCTCGAACTCCTGACCTCAGGTAATCCACCCGCTTTGGCCTGGGATTACAAGCATGAGCTACCACGCCCCACCTATTTCTCGGTTTTCTACAGTAAAAATGTATCACCGTTACAACCAGAACACCGTGGAAAGGAGGGGACACACGAGGGCCCTCTGCTCACATCGACTCTGCCCCCTCTGCCCCCAGGACGCCTTTGCCCTCATGTGCCCAGGCTGGAGGGGGCTTGGCGCAGCCCCTCCCTCGGGTGGGAGCCTACCATGTTGGTCTTCTCCTTCTGCAGCTTCAGGATGAGCTGGTTGAAGTATTTGGTGATCTTGTTGGAGGTCACGTGTTCCTGCAGCTTCTCCCGGATGGCGGCCTCTGTCTTCCTCCTGACCTCCAGCTCATCCTGGATGGCCTGGCGGATGGCCTTCAGCTCGTCAGTGAGGACCATTTGTACCTGGAGAGAAGGAGCCACAGACTGGGTGTCCCCGAAGAGGCAGTGCTGCGGGCCAGGCATGACCTGCGGGGCGCGCCCGGCCTCACCAGCTGGTTCTGGCTGAGGGCGTCCTCTGTGTCCTGCAGGGCCAGCCTGTAGGTGTTGAAATCGCTCTGCAGGGCCACCTGCTTGGTCAGGCACTGGGTGACGAGCTTCCGCTGGAGGCTGGCTTCCGTCTCTGTCCGGTTCAGGATGCTCGCCAGCTTCTCGTTCTTTTCTTCCTCCTTCATGATTGATTTCTTACAGCCCTCAATCTCACTGTCGATGGCCTTGGCTTGATGCCGGCATTCTCTGCAGAAATGCAGGGGACAGAGCCAGTTACGTGTGAGGCATCAGAGAACTGATGTACAGAGCTGTGTCCCACACGAGGAAGCTCACCAAGTAACTCAATGCACAGAGAAATGAATTAGGAAGCCAACTCTTTTTTTTTTTTTTTTTTTTTTTAAAAAAGGCCCCCTTTTTTTTTTTTTTTTTTTTTTTTTTTTTTTTTTTGAGACAGAGTCTCACTTTATTTATTTATTTATTTATTTATTTTTGAGACGGAGTTTCACTCTTGTTACCTAGGCTGGAGTGGAATGGTGCGATCTCAGCTCACCGCAACCTCCGCCTCCTGGGTTCAGGCAATTCTCCTGCCTCAACCTCCTCAGTAGCTGGGATTACAGGCACGCGCCACCATGCCCAGCTAATGTTTTTTTTGTTTTTAGTATAGACGGGGTTTCACCATGTTGACCAGGATGGTCTTGATCTCTTGACCTCGTGATCCACCCGCCTCGGCCTCCCAAAGTGCTGGGATTACAGACCTGAGCCACCGTGCCCGGCCTCAGAGTCTCACTTTATAACCCAGACTGGAGTGCAGTGGTGCGATCTCAGATTACCTCAATCTCCGCCTTTTGGGTTCAAGCAATTCTCATGCCTCAGCCTCCGGAGTGGCTGGGCCACCGCACCTGGCTAATTTTTAAACTTTTTTTGTAGAGATGGGGCGTCACCATGTTGCCCAGGCTGGTCTCCAGCTCCTGAGCTCGGGCCTGCCTTGGCCTCCCAAAGTGCTGGGTTTACAGGCATGAGCCACTGTATCCAGCAGGAAACCAACTCCTTTAATAGTAGCCAAATCTTTAAAAATTTTTTCTATTTAAAATGTTTATAGATTGGCATGTATTTGAGAGGTACGTGTGATATTTTGATACAAGCATACAGCATGTCACGCTCCAATCTGGGGAACTGGGCCACTATCACGTCAAACATTATCCTTCTTTGTGTTGAGAACAGCCCAAATCTTCTCCTCTAGCTATTCAAAAATACACTGACTTACCGTTAGCTGTAGCCACTATGACGTGCTGTCCAATACTGGGCCTCGTTCCTTTTCCCTCCCTGTATTTCTGTACCCAACAGCCAAATCTTGACAATTATTTTCCAGTAGATCAATACAACTATTACTCATCAAAAGTCCAAGTTGACAACTCTTTTATCCTATGATTACGGGGGGAAGGAAAGTCACACATGGCTCAGACATTGGGCTGGGGGTTTTCATCTGCCCATCTTCTTTAACCATGACAATAATCCTAGAAAGGAAATATTCCAGCTTTACAGATGTGGCCACTGAGACTTAGAACATTTAACCACTAGCCCAAGGTCTGCAGGAAACGGCCTGGCTGGGGGAGCACCAGTGGGACCACTTCAAATTCTATTGTCCTTCCCCTCAGCAGGCTGAGGTGAGATACGGGTAATTAACATCAAGCTCTCATTAACATCAAGCTCTAAAATACAGATATCAGATAATCAGATCTAAAATACACATTCAAATCCTGTATTTGCTGCAGTGCAGCGGCACCATCTTGGCTCATTGCAACCTCTGCCTCCTGGGTTCAAGCAATTCTCCTACCTCAGCATGAGGATTTGAATTTTTGTTTGTGTGTGAGGCACGTTTTTGTTTTATTTTGAGATGTTCTGCTGTACTTTAAACATTGCTTTCTCTCTCTCTCCCTCTCTTTTTTTTTGAGACAGTGTCTCACTCTGTCACCCAGGCTGGAGTGCAATGGCAAGATCTTGGCTCACTGCAGCCTCAGTCACCCAAGTAGCTGGGATTTCAGGTGTGCGCCACCATGCACAGCTAATTTTTGTATTTTTCGTAGAGATGGGGTTTCACCATGTTGGCCAGGCTGGTCTCACACTCCTGACCTCAAGTGATCCACCCGCCTTGGCCTCCTAAAGTGCTGGGATTATAGGCGTGAGCCACTGCACCCAGCCATCTAGCCAGCCTTTTTTTTTTTTTGAGAGTCTGGCTCTGTCACTCAGGCTGGAGTGCAGTGGCACAATCTCAGCTCACTGCAAGCTCTGCCTCCTGGGTTTAAGCAATTCTCATGCCTCAGCCTCCCCAGTAGCTAGGACCACAGGCATGCACCACCACGCCCATCTAATTCTTTTTTGTGTTTTTAGTAGAGACAGGGTTTTGCTGTCTTGGCCAGGGTGGTCTCAAACTCCTGACCTCAAGTGATCCACCAGCCTCAGCTTCCCAAAGTGTAGGAATGACAGGCGTGCCCAGACATCCAGTATCTGTTTTTAGTGTGTGTGGATATTTGTGGATACACTGATGAGATCAGAAACAGACAAAAACCAGGAAAGGGCCTCACTGCAGATCGATGAGGATGACTGAATTATGGCATGGGCATCACTCAGAACACAGTCTGGAGAGAACTGAAAGGAACAAAGACGACTTCTGTGTATTCTGACATGGAATAACTCTAAGACACAAGTAAAACCAAGGTGCAGAGTGGGACGCACTCAGCTGCCGCTGGCGATTTTTGAGTGGAGAGACAAGCACCTGAGAATGATGCCTATGTATGCACGAAAGCTATCTGGAAAGACGTTTATGAAACAGTAACAGGTTGCTTGGGAAAAAGAATGGAAACGCTGGGGATAGATAAATATGGAAGGTATTATTCTAGTCCAAGAAGAAAGTACTTCTTGAATATTCAAATAAAAACTTATTCAAAGGATAAAGCTACCCATAGAGAAAGGAAGCCTGGCCAACATGGCGAAACCCCATCTCTACTAAAAAAAAAAAAAAAA